GGACACAAGGGTCTCCACTCAGTTTCTCAGCCTCTTGCTGCTCTGGCTCCCAGGTGAGGAAGGACAGCACCAGGAATTTCCTCAGCTCACTTGGTCAGAGTTGCCTGAGGTTTCAGGGAGGTCCTGTTTTATTATGAGTAACTGTGATGGTATTGTTATGTTTCTAATTTCAGGGGCCAGATGTGACATCCAGTTGACACAGCCTCCATCCTTACCTGCATCTGTAGGAGACAGAGTCACCATCTCTTGCCAGACCAGTCAGAGTGTTAACAAATTCTTAAACTGGTATCAGCAGAAACCAGGGCAAGCTTCTAAACTCCTGATCTACTATGCAACCAATTTGGCCTCTGGGGTCCCATCCAGGTTCAGCGGCAGTGGGTCTGGGACAGATTTCACTCTCACCATCAGCAGCCTGCAGCCTGAAGATGTTGCAACTTACTACTGTCAACAGTATAACAGTTCCCCTCCCACAGTGATACAAGTCATGGCAAAAACCTCCCAGGGAAGCAGAAATGTGAGGCTGGGCTGCCCCAGCTGCTCCTCTTGGTGTCTCCAATAGCAGAGCAAGTTCTTCAGATGCATCCAGGCTTTGGAGGTCACTGCAAGGATTTGGTAGAAGGGTTCAAGAGAGCTCCTCTATTCAGTTACTTTCTTTTCCGTTTCTCAGTCCAGCTTTAATGAAGGACACCAACCCAAAGTACACTGGAGCAATGTGGATTGTGGCATTATTTTGTATTCACATGGCAACAGAGAAACTCTTGTGTGGATTCCAAGCAATAGTTTTCAAAGACTTTCATCACTTTTAGAGACTTATAGTCACAAATATTTTAAAGTGCAGAAGTGTCTTTTATATCCCTGCCCCTACATCTACGCAGTGTATCATCTCAATAAATTGCAATTCTGTTGAAATTAATCAAGATGTATAGTTCACATTAAGTTTGACCCTAGATGTTGAACATTTCACCAGAAAATGCATGTATAATGACATGTATTAAACGTGACTCAGTGTTGTTTCACTGCCCTAAATACCACTGTCTTCTACCTGTGCATTTCTTTTTCCACCACTTTCTGTAAGTCAGTCATGACTACCATGTCTACAGTTTTTCCTTTTCTGGAAAAATAAAATCTTGGAATTTACAGTATGGAAGATTTTCAAATTTAATCTCAAAATATACTTCTATGGGACAGAGAAATATAAAATAATGAATAGTATATTTGGCTATTACCAAGACTCCCTTTATAACATTTATTGTTATCTCCAATATCCTGGCTTAGTAAAGTTGTTAGATACTTTCTGTGCAATATGACAGTGCTTTCATAGTAGTGATTGCATCTCAGAGGTCACCAGCAGGGTACAGATTACTTGGACTGAATGTTAATAGTCTATTGTAATTTTGAAACATGTAGAGGATTTTTAAAATTCTTTTTGTCTTTCACGTTGATTTTATTGATGCATCCCTTGATATCAATTCTGATGCCCATACAGTCAGTTGAATTTATAGTCGGAACTCAGGAACTCTCACTGTTCTTTTTTATATCATTCAGATCCATTCACTGGTTCACTGAACCTAGCTCAGGGTCTTTCTCTACCAGTCTGGGAAGTGCCTTAGCTCTTGTTGATCTGTTTTTTGAGAAGTGAAGAAAAAAAGAGATGGTTTCATTGTGTACTGGAAAAAATATCTTCTGTGTCATTTCTACATCTGCATATGTGGCTTTTAGGACTGTGGCAGTTGAACACTTTCCATAAGCACAGCATTTCAGCCCAGTGTGAAAAGTAGACTTAGATCTTTTGGAAGACAGCATTATGTGGTACGGTTAACATAGGGCCACTAGCATGCTTTTTATTTTTCTAGTCAAGATGGTGGCAGCAGAGGAGGCTGCAGTCATTGTAGGGACACAGTCTTCAAGCAGCACACTAATGTTTCTCTCAGAAAAATCTCAGATTCAGCGGTAGGAAGCATTCTCTCTGTACAACCCATTCCCTACTTCTTTACTTCATGAACAGGATGTTGTTATTTATCCCTTCTGTCCAGTTTTTTCTGTACTAACTTTTGCCTCTTCAATAGAATGTATTAATTAAGATGAGCTCTTAGTATTCTAAAACATGCCAAACACAGAACAATGATAATTAACAAATGCCTTAATGACCTGTACCTCCTCTAGTTACTATTGCATATCAAGTACACAAAATCTTAAGAAACAAGTAGTGTGAACATCTTAAATGCTCATCGATTCTTGGTAGAAATGATGAACATATAAATTCCTAGGAGAATAGCTTGGCAGAGTCTTAAAAACTTATTGTCATCATGTCATACCTCACAGTAAATCTTTTAGGCTTTTGACTAATGTGCTTGAAAACACCTGTTTGCTCTACATCTTGCGTAAGACTATAAAAACTAGCTTTGTGCATTATAGCCTGAAGTGAAAACTTCCTAAATCATCGGCAGCGGATGAAGCAACAAATTATGATATCACCATCCATTACATAGCACTCAGAAATAAAGAAGGTCACATTATTGATACATGAACAACATGAATTGATCTAAAAACAGCTATGCTGTGTACAAGTAGGAAGCCACTAGGGAATAGAAGCTATATAATTTCTCTTGTATGAAATTCCAGAGAAGGAAAATCTAATATATAGTGACAACTGATAGACCTGAGTTTGCTGAGTCCATGGGGTGGGGAGGAAATTTGTTTAAAAAAAGGTAGGAAAAAGTTCTGTGTCTTCAGGACAATTTGTTATTACAGTGGAATTTTCCCAGTGTAATTTTAATAGAGATTACACTAACTCTGTAATTCACTTTGGATGGTATGAATGTTTTAGCAGTGTTAATTCCTTCAGTGCTGGAACATGGGGTATCTTTCCATTTATCTGTGTCTTCTGTAATTTCTTTCATGAGTTTTAATTGAGTCTAACTTTGCAGTATTTCTCTTCTGTGATTGTGTGTGCATGTTTGTGTCCTGTTTAAATGTGTGCCTACTTTTTTTTTTTTTTTGGTACTGGAAATCAAAGTGAAGACCTTGCATTTGCCAGGCAGGTGCTTATGTCGCTGAGCCTTGTTTGCCTACTTTTAAGGTGTAAATTTAGCCTCTTTGGTTTTCTCTCATAGGTTCCTGACTCATACCTGTAAGCTATGATTGCATTAATTCATATTTTTACCTGATGTCATACAGATCAAAATTTTTCCAATATGTACTTAAATTCATTTTCATTTCCCATTGCTCCTCACCATTTATTACAAAATAATGGCTTGTGAACCTATAATTAACTATACTCTTTGTAGAAATGTGCATATGCTGCTCTTTTCTTCCTGGACTCTTCTCTTTTGCTTGTTCATTGTATTTATGTTTGTTCTTATGATGCACAACACTGTCTTACAGAAGTTCTTCAATAATCCCCCTCCCATTCTTGTACTGCTGGAGGTTGAACCCAGGGTCTTATGCTATACTATTGAGCTATGTCCTCTTTCAGTTTAAAAGTCTTAAAAATAATTTTATTCATATTCTATTGTTTTGTTTGTTTTCTGTAGGGAATCAAACTCAGGACCTTTTGCTTACCAGGCAGGGGCTTGTGCCACTGACCAATATCCCCAACCCTCATCTTCTATTTTTATTACTTAAAATTTTTGTGCCTATCCTAGGTTCTCTGATTTTTCTTTTATATTCTAGACACTGCTCATCAATTTATTTATTTATTTTTATTTTAAAAAGTAAAAAAAAACTAATAATAAAACAACGAAGAGCCATTCAAAACAACACTAAAACCACAAAATCGATACATGACCACAAAACAAAATGATGGTAACTAACAATGGTTGCTGAATTACATACTTTTATCTTCCATGAAGTTATTCAGTCCACCAGCCATAAATAAATCATTTATAGACTGACTGGATTTCATTGTATGAAATGCATTTGTGTACATACATCTTTTGAGAAAATTAAACTTTAATAATACCAAGTTTTTTATTTGATAAACATGGAAAAAATCTCTATTCATCTCAATGTTTGTAATTTACAAGACATAGTGAACGTATTGACAGTGAACCCAGAGCCTGAATGAAATTATTTTTCTAGTGATTTTTGGTTCAGTCTTTAGGAATTTATGTAAAACTTCTGTTGTAAGTATGTGAAGATAACCTTTTTTTCTTTCAATCTCTGAATTTTATTATTTTGTCTTTTTATTGTATTTCCTACCATCGTCAATATAATTTGGAATAAAAGCGATAAAAGTGGACATGCCTTTATTTTTTCTTTTCTGAAGAAAAAAATACTCAAAATTTTATTGGTGAATATGACATTTTAGAGACTTTATTACAAGTGTAAACAGTTCTCTAAGATTGTTAAGGTGACAGGGCTGGAATTTGGGTTGACTGATGCACTGTAATAAAAAGACATAGAGAATCACCCAGGGAATAGTTCACTGCCTGCACCGAAAGTTCTATTTCTGATTCCAGCAAAATTGTATCATATGCTGAAGAAAGAGAGACCCAGTGCTGCTCCTCTGTGAGGCTGTGGTGTCCACTGACCTACATTACTGAGCCTAAATGATTGTTGCCCTTTGCAAATTCTCGGAAGAGTAAGGCTGCTTTAAGGACCCTGGGAAAGACTGCAAAACTGCAAAGGAGAAGAATGTCTGGAACACTGATTTCATCCAAAGCTCTATTTCAACCAGACCCAATTATGTACACAGGGAGTTGATGAGACACATTAGAGGCTCTATCTTGTTCTTAAAGTGTTTGTACTGACCACCATTTGGCTATTTCTAGAGGTTTGGTGAGACAGGAAGAAAACAATGTCAAGTTCTGTGACCACAGAGGAGAAATGCTATGCTCAGGCTGAGCCAAGGGCCTTCTGGCCTGACCACCTGGTCATGGCTTGGTCAAGTGTGAACAAGAACAGCCCAGTGTTTCTGCACCTGAAAGCTCAGCTCATCTGCCTCCTGCTGTTTTGCATGCTCCTCCCAACGCCCACTGCTCTTCAGAGCCCATATCATTGCCTGAACCAGAGCTCTGGGGAAGATCTGCACCAGGGAGACCAGGGAGGACCTAGTGTGCAGCATGGCAGCTCTGGCTCAACTCCTCTGTTTCTTGTTACTCTGGGTCCCAGGTGAGGGCTGTGTGGGATATTTCTGCATATCTGTGAAAGCTGAGTGCTGGCTCCTATGTACAGTAATAGCATCAGTAATTAAAGTTCAATGTAAATCAATGAGTTTAGCTTGACTGAGAAAGCAAAGGGTATGACCTAGATTCCATGGGTGACATTTCTGTTTTATTTTTCAATCTCAGATTCCACTGGACAAACCCTTTTAACCCAGTCTCCAGCCTCCTTGGCTTTGTCTCCAGGAGAAACAGCCACTCTCAGCTGCAAGGCCAGTCAAAGTGTCAGCAGCTACCTAGCCTGGTACCAGCAGAAACCTGGCCAGGCTCCCAGGCTTCTCATCTATCGTGCCTCCAGCAGGGCCCCTGGCATCCCAGACAGGTTCAGTGGCAGTGGGTCGGGGACAGACTTCACTCTCACCATCAGCAGCCTGGAGCCTGAAGATGTTGCAACTTATTACTGTCTACAAACTTGGAGTACACCTCCCACAGTGATACAAGCCATGACATAAACCTCCCAGGGAAGCAGAAGTGTGAGGCTGGGCTGCCCCATCTGCTCCTCTTGGTGTCTGCAACAGCAGAGCAAGTTCTTCAGATGCATCCATGCTTTGAAGGTCACTGGAATGATTTGGTAGAAGGGTTCAAGAGAGCTCCTCTATTCTATAACTGTCTTTTCAGTTTCTCAGTCTTGCTTTAATGAAGGACACCAATCCAAAGTACACTGGAGTCATGTGGATTGTGGCATCATTTTGTATTCACACGGCAACAGAGAAGGTCTTCTTAGGATTCCAAGGAATAATTTTTAAAGACTTTCATCACTTTTAGAGATTTATAGTCACAAATCTATCTGAAGTGCAGAAGTGTCTTTTACATCCAGCCCCTACATCTATACACTACATCAGCACAATAAATTGCAGTTCTGTTGCAGCCACTCAAGATCCATAGTTCACATTAAGGTTGCCTTTTGATGTTGAATATTTCACCAGAAAATGCTTGTATAATGACAAGTGTCCAACATTTTGGGATGACCCAGTGTTGTTTCACTGCTCCAAATACCTCTGTCTTCTGCCTGTACAACTTTTTTTGGCTACAATTTCTGTAAGTCAATCATATCTTACAATTTGTAATTTTTCATTTTTTTGAAAAACAAAATTTTGGAATTTATCATATGGATGATTTTCAAAAGCTTAACTTCAAATATACTGCTATGGAACACAAATAAAAAATAATGAATAATACATTTTGCTACTACCAAGACTCCCTTTATAGCATCTATTATTATCGCAAATATCCTGGCTTCGTGAAGGTGTTAGATACTTTACTGTGCAATATGACAGTGCTTTCAATAATATAGATTGCATCTCAGAGGTCACCAGAAGGGTATAGATTACTTGAGCTGAATATTAAGAGTCTTTTGTAAGTTTTAAACGTGCTGAAGAATTTTTAAATTCCTTTTTTCTTTCCAGTTGATTTTGCTGATGCGCCCTTGATATGAATTCTGATGCCCATACAGTCAGTTGGATTTACAGGTGGAACACTGGAACTCTTGGTGTTCTTTTTTATATCATGCAGATCCATTCACTCTCTCACTGAACCTAGCTCAGTGTCTTCCTCTACCAGTCAGGGAAGTCCCTTTGCTCTTGTTGATCTGTTTTCTGAGAAGTAAAGAAAGAAAGGTCTGGATTCATTGTGTACTGCAAAGAAATATCTCCTGTCCTTATTTTTACATCTTTGTATGTGGCTTTTAGGACTGCAGGACTTGAACACCTTCCATAAACACAGATTTTCAACCCAGTGTGAAAAATGGACTTATTTCTTTGGCAAGACAACAGGAAGTGGCATGGTTAACACAGGGCCTGTAGCATGTTTTTTGTTTTTCCAATCAAAATGGTGGCAGCAGAGGAGGTTGCAGTCATCATAGGTACACAGTCTTCAAGCGTCATACTAGTGTCTTTCCCAGAGTAATCTCAGGTTCAGCAGTAGAAATCATTCTCTCTGTGTAGGCCATTCCCTACTTCCTCATTTCACTAAGGGGATGTTTTTATTTATCCCTACTCTCCAGTTTTTTCTTTACTAACTTTTTCCTCTTGAATAGAATATATTAATTAAGATGATCTCTTAGTATTCTAAAATATGCAAAACAGAGAACAATGGTAATTAACAAAGGCCTTAATGACCTCTACCTCTTCTAGTTACTATTGCCTATCAAGTACACAAAATCTTCAAAAGCAAGTAGTGTGCACATCTTAAATGCTCATAGATTCCTGGTGGAAATGTTGACCATACGACTTCCTAGGAGAATAGCTTGGCAGAGTCTTAAAAACTTATGTCGTCATGTTACACCCAACAGTAGAACTTTCAAGCCTCTGACTAATGTGCTTGAAAACACCTGTTCACTCAACATCTTCTGTAAGACTATTAAAAGTAGCTTTGTTCAAAATAGCCTGAAGTGAAAACTACCTAAATCGTCAGCAGCATATGAAGCAATGAATTATGATATCACCATGCATTACCCAGTACTCAGAAATAAAGAAGATCACATTATTGGTACATGAACAACATGAACTGACCTAAAAACAGCTGTATTGTACATAAGTAGGAAGCCATGAAGGAATAGAAGCTATATAACTTCTCTTATAGGAAATTCCAGAGAAGGAAAATCTAATATATAGTGACAACTGATAGACCTGAGTTTGTTGAGTCCATGGGGTTGAGAGGAAATTGGTTTAAAAAAAGTCAGGAAAAAGCTTTGCTTCTTCAGGACAATTTGTTATTGCAGTGGAATTTCCCCATTGTAATTTTGATAGAGATTACACTGACTCTGTAATTCACTTTGGATGGTATGAACATTTTAGCAGTGTTAATTCCTCCAGTGCATGAGCATGGGTTATCTTTCCATTTATTTGTGTCTTCTGTAATTTCCTTCATAACTTTTAGTGAAGTCTAACTTACCAGTATTTCTCTCCTGTGACTGTATGTGCATGTTTGTGTCCCATTTAAATGTTTGCCTGCTTTTAAGGCCTAACGTTATTCTCTTGTGCTTTCTCCCAAAGCTTCTGAACTCTTACACACAAGGCTATGATATTCCATTAATTCATATTTTTACCTGACGTCATATGGATCAAAATTTTTCCAATGTGCACTTAATTTCATTTTCATTTCCCATTGCTCTTCACCATTTATTGGAAAAAAATGGCACATGAACCTATAATTAACATTACTATCTTTGTAGAAATGTGTGTATGTAGCTCTTTTTTTCCTGGACTCTTCCTTTTTGCTTGTTCATTTTATTTACCTTTGTTCCTATGGTGCACACCACTGTCTTACTGATGTTCTTCAATAATCCTCCCCTCACATTGGCAGTGCTAGAGGTTGAACCCAGGGTCTTATTCTCTGCTATTGAGCTATGTCCCCATTCCTTATAAAATTCTGAAAATATAATTTTATTCATATTCTATTCTATTGTATTGTTTTTTTTCTCTTTTTGGTACTAGGAATCAAACTTAGGACCTTGTGTTGCCAGACAGGTGCTTGTGCCACTGACATATATCCCCATCCCTCATATTCTCTTTTTTTTCCATAAAATTTTTGTGCCTCTCCTGGGTCCTTTGATGTTTCTTATATATTCTAGAAACTGCCCATCAATTTAAATAAATGATCTGTAGACTGATTGGACTTCAGTGCATGAAATGCATTTGTGTATAGATACAACTTTTGAAAAAATTAAACTATAATAGTACCAAGTTTTCTACTTGATAAACATGGGGAAAAACTATTTATCTCAGTGTATTTTAATTTACAGGACATAGTGCATGTACAGACAGAGAACCCAGAGCCTGAATGAAATTATTTTTCTAGTGATTTTTGGTTCTATCTTTGGGAATTTATGTGAAACTTTTGTTGTAAGAATGTGACGATATTGCTTTTTTAATTTGCAAACTGTATTACTTTATCTTCTTATTGTATTTCCTAGCACCGTCAGTATAATTTTGAATAAAAGTGATAAAAGTGGACATGCCTTTATTTTTCCTTTTCTGAAGGATAAAATACTCAAAATTTTACTAGTGAATATGATGTTTTTAGAGACTTTATTACAAGTGTAAACAGAGTTCTCCAAGATTGTTAAGGTGAAAGGATCCAAGTTTGGGTTAATTGATGCATTGTAATAAAATGATATGGAGAATCTCCCAGGGAATAGTTCGTTGCCTGCACAGAAATTTCTATTTCTGATTTCAGTGAAATGGTATCGTATGCTGAAGAAAAAGAGACCCATTGCTGCTTATTTGTGTGTTTGTGGTTGTCCACTGACCTATACTACTCAGTCTAAAGGACTGTTGCCCTTTGCAAATTCTCAGAAGGGTAAGGCTGCATTAAGGACCCTGGGAAAGACTGCAAAACTGCAAAGGAGAAGAGTGTCTGCAAGACAAATTTCATAAAATGTCTTGTTTCAACCAGACACAATTATGTACATAGGGAGATGATGAGACACATTAATGGTGGAGAGAAATAGCCTTATAGGCTTCTACCTTGTTCTTAATATGTTTGTACTGAACACCATTTGGCTGAGTCTAGAGGTTTGGTAAGATAGGAAGACAACAATAGCAAGTTCTGTGACCACAGAGGAGAAATGCTGTGCTCAGGCTGAGCCAAGGGCCTTCTGACCTGACCACCTGGGCATGGCTTGCTCAAGTGTGGACAAGGAGAGGCCAGTGTTTCTGCACCTGCAAGCTCAGCTCAGCCGGTTCCTGCTGCTTTGCATGCTCCTCCCAATACCCACTGCTCTTCAGAGCCCGTATCATTGCCTGAGCCAGAGCTCCGGGGAAGATCTACACCAGGGAGGACTTAATGTGCACCATGGCAGCTCTGGCTCAACTCCTCTGTCTCCTGTTACTCTGGGTCCAAGGTGAGGGCTGTGTGGGATGTTTCTGCATATCTGTCAAAACTCAGTGGTGGCTTCTGTGTTCAGTACGAGCGTCTCTGTACAGTAAGGACAGTTATTAAAGTTCAATATACATCAATGAGTTTAGATCTACTGAGAAGACAGTTGGTATGACCTAGATTCCATGGGTGACATTTCTGTTTTATTTTTCAATCTCAGATTCCACTGGACAAACGCTGTTGACCCAGTCTCCAGCCTCCCAGGCTTTGTCTCCAGGAGAAACAGCCACTCTCACCTGTAAGGCCAGTCAGGGTATTAGCAACTGGCTAGCCTGGTACCAGCAGAAACCTGGCCAGCCTCCCAGGCTCCTCGTCTATGGTGCCTCCAGCAGGGCCACTGGCATCCCAGCCCGGTTCAGTGGCAGTGGGTCAGGGACAGGCTTCACTCTCACCATCAGCAGCCTGGAGCCTGAAGATGTTGTAACTTATTACTGTCTACAAACATGGAGCACATCCCCCACAGTGATATAAACCATGACATAAACCATCCAGGGAGGCAGAATTGTGAGGCTGGGCTGTCCCATCTGCTTCTCTTGGTGTGTCCAACAGCAGAGCAAGTTCTTCAGATGCATCCAGGCTTTGAAGGTCA